CACGATTGTTCTGCAACGAAATTTTTGAAGGAGCTACGCTGAATGACCCCTCAAAGGGAGCCTTAGAAGATAATATTCATATTCATGTAAAGTGTTCAAATTAATTTAATTAATTAATTAATAAAATCATCATAAATAAGTTATAACCCTAACCCAAACTAGGGCATGGGTCACACACACTGAAATCGAATCGTGACTGGAGGGAAGTAAAACGCTGCATTTGGCGCCAATGATGCTCCTCCAAAATGCTACTCTTTCGAAACGACTAAAATAAAAATAAGAACTTTGGCGGCAAAGCAAAATGCTCTACAAATTGAACACCGCCTTCTCTTCGCGCTAACCCTCCAGTCGGATCCAACAGAGCTCGTCACCCTCATCCATGGCCGTTCCCCCCACTTCGCCAGTCAGCCGCCGCCGGAAAATGGAGGAAAGCGAGAGCAAGAAGGATATCGTCCCTCCCCCAGCCAAGCGTTCTAAGAACCCCGGGGTCCGAGTACAGGGAGGGCGGATCTACGACTCGGAGAACGGGAAGACATGTCACCAGGTAAAACCCAGCTAGAAACCCTAGCTGGCCTAACATACTCCTTTTTTCTCTTCTCACCGGCTTTCCCCTTTTTATGTATTTCAAGCAGTGCCGGCAGAAGACCATGGACTTCTCTGCCTCCTGCAAGGCGACCAAAAGGGAAAAGCCTTGCACCATCCATTTCTGCCACAAGTGCCTCCTTAACAGGTACTTGCCTCTCAAATTTTCGTATCAATTTATGTTTAGTGCTTAAGGGACTGGTTGGCCCAGGTATGGTGAGAAGGCCGAGGAGGTTTCTAGTTTGGATGATTGGAAGTGCCCTAAATGCAGGGGAGTCTGCAACTGCAGCTTCTGCATGTAGATGTTTCTGAACTTTCTCTGGTGGCCTCGTTCTTCTATTTTTGACTTTGTTCCATAATGTTGTGGCACGGTTTTTGATTTAATAGGAAGCAAAAGGGTCAGCCGCCAACTGGGATTCTCGTCCATACGGCAAAACTTACTGGATTCTCGTCAGTTCATGAATTGTTAAGTAACGGAGGAGAAAATGTGATGAGAGATGCTACTGTCTCATTGAGGGAATCCCCTGCATCAAAAAAGGTAGCTTTTATCTTGCTTGAACGCTTGATTTGTCATTTTATTGGCATTGCTCTATTGATTCTTTACGTTTGAATTATCTATATTAGGTTCCAGTGCCTTCAAAAAGATCCAGGGACAAGGAAAATTACAATTTTGAGAAGAATGATACTGTGTGCATGCAAGCTGATTGTAATAGGGAGAAGAGCTCGCTCGTAGAGAAGAATGATGTAAAAGCAACAAAAAATTTGAAGCAGATGAAGCTTAAGATTGAAGGTGGAAGGAGTGACCAGGATCAAAATAATAAGAAGTTGCAGATCAATAATTCGGAAAATGGTTTGCCTGTGCAGGAAGATAAAAAAGAAAACTTGCATTGCAGTGCTAAGAATGAAACCATGAACAAGCCTCCTAAGCCAAGGGGACGTCCCCAGAAGATTGCTACAGTACCTGTTCGACCTGCAGGAAAACCATTGAGTATGGTTGCAGGCTTGGAGCTGCCAGCTGAAGATGTTGGACCTGTATTGCAATTTTTGGAATTCTGCACAGTGTTTTCCAAGGTATAATACTTCTGCCTTTCTTGTTCATCTGATGAAACATTCTACTTGTCCTGACAATGAATCTCCTTGCCTTCAAAATTTGCTCATATTTCAAGCTGATTCAATTATGAGTTTGTTTGGCTTAAATCAGTTTGATTTTCAGCTTGCAGCAAATTGAATAGAGTTGATTGGAGTTAGTTATTTCTACTGTTTATTTATTTATTCATACAAAAGCATATGTTTTTTTTTACTACATGTACAAAACACCCACGCCACACGCGCGCACCACATCTTTTGTATGGCTTGAACCTGCTTTAAGAATTGATTGAGCAAAGTTGTTGTTCATGCTCGAGTCATCTGGCTTAGTTTGAGCTGATTCTAGGGAAAAAAGAAAAATACTCTTATTATTAGCAATTTTTATTTTTGAGCCAAATTCTAAGCCCTACCTCACACACGTTCACTCTCCAACCTTTTGGAGAACCATTTTGTGCATATTTATTTGTAGTAAATATTTCGTTTTTCTGAAGCTTATATATATATATATATATATAAGGTTTGGCAAGTGAATTCAATATAATATAATGACGAGTAGTTGCCAATAAAAAACTTCTTGTGGCTTACCAGTCATTCTTGGAAAACAACAACAATCAAATAGAACATGGTGACTGGATAACTATGTAGCTAATATTATACGATCAATGCATCCAAAAATTCAAGTCACGAGCATAGAATTGAAATCTAATTAATGTAGTAATTAATTTTAAAAAAGATATGAACTAATAAATTAAGTAAATGATTTAATGACCTTGATGAAGTTCTCATGTTATTTAAAATATCTTTCTTGAAGCTCTTTTTTCAATAAATTCAAACTGATAAATAATAAAATTAATCTCCAAGGGTTTCAAATGACAACTTATTAGATCAAATTTATTGGCAATGATATAACATATAGGGGATGGAAATGAAATGATGATTACACGATATTGTATATAACAAGCCATAATAATCTTACTTTGCAAGGTAGATAATTTTATATATACAAGCAATTTAATAAAGATTGCAATGTTATAGAGTTCATAAGAAAATGTCTATAATGCTAATTATTGCCTTTAAATGTCAAACCATTAATGTCCATGTAATTTATACTCTTACACCAAAGAAGACTTTTCATCATTATTATTAAACATTGTTAATTATTTATGATTAATTAGAGAAAGGTGGTAAAGTCTATAACCCTTAATATTGATATTCACATCTAATAACCTTCTTTATACATCATACACATCATGTCATTATCAAGCTATTATAATTATTATTATTTATAAGAGGGATATGCACTTCCAGCCGTAAAGTGTCTCGTACGATATCATGCCAATATTAGCCTGAAAGTTAATATAAACAAATTTGACCAGTGGAATATTATCCTCTCATCTACCCTTGAAGTTGAAAATGTAAGCTCTCAATATGTTTTTAAAGGTTTGAATAATGTGCTCTGGCTGTTCGTCAGCCTAAGGATGAAAAGTAGTACATAGTTCCAATATCGTGCCCATAACTTCTTGTGCTTAGGTCCATAATCTACAAGTAAATTTCCCATCTCGATCAAAGACATAATGGCAGTTAGAATATCATGCAGTCGAATGATGTTATTAATGTAAATCTCTGCTAACTTCTTCACCAAGTAATTTTGCTTGATTGAAAAAAATGAGTTGGCTTAATTAGTCTATTGACCACAACCCGAATACTTTGTATCCTTGCTCTCTACAAACCAACCATGAAATTCATTGAAATATCATCTTATTTTCACTTTGGAATGGGAATGTGCTATAACAAACCACTAGATTTTTGATGTTCGGCTTTGATCATCTGACAAGTCAAACTCTTGGCTACAAATTCAGTTATGTTGCTTTTCATACTTGACCACTAAAATACCTTCTTTAAGTCTTGATACATCTTAGTACTTTTTGGACGTGTCAAATATGGGGTAAAACGTGCCTCACAAAGTATCTTCTATCGAAAATCTTCTTGATTTGGAACACACAAGCGGTCTTGAAATCACATCGTGTTAGGTCGATCAATATTGAACTCCGGCTTCAACCCATTTTGAGCAGGCTCTCTAAGTTGTAATAACTTTGCATCCCTCCCTCATTTGAGATGCACAAACATGATCCCAACGTGTAGGTTGAACTGATAGCTGATACATGATCGGATGGGCTTCTGTCGGTACAATGCCAAGTTGAACTTGCTCCATGTCCAACATTAACTAGTGCTCATCCATGTTGCATATGTCGAAGACTTTTTTTCTTAAAGCATCTCTAACCTCGATTGTCCTACCAGGATGATATTGAATATCCAAATCATAATCCTTCATCAACTCGAGTCATCGTCCTTGCCTCAGGTTAATTTCCTTCTAAGAGAAAATGTATAAAAAGGTAGTTTTAGCTTTTTAAAAGTAAATAAGGGTATTTTTTTATATGGCAAGAAAGATTTAGGTGTTAGATATGTAAATACATAGAAATTAGATGGTATGTATGTAAATGCCTCCCTTATTTATATATTAAGTTCTTAATTTTTTTTAATTTATTCAGTTGTGTAAATAAATGAAAATATATAAATCTTATATAAAAACTTATCATATTATTCATCGAAGCACTATTTGTTTTTCAGTCCTACTTGCTCTTGAAAACCTTTTCTTTCCATTTTTTTCGAGCTCTTTCCGGTTTTTCCAGCATTTCATTATAGTTTTCTGTCAAAGTATATCCTTGCAAGTCAGGAAAGGTAGCATAATATGATAATTGGTTTTAGCGCTAATTTTGTTTCTCCCTCGGATTATTTCTTGCTTTCGTTTTGTGTCTGTATTTGCTTATGTACTTGCTCATGCAGTGTTTTGGTTTGTGTATTAAAGAATGACATTAGTTAATTTTAGGTTCTCGATGTAAAGAAAGGGGAGCCTCATGCAATTATCAGGGAATTAATCAGAGGCTCTTTATCACTTCGCCGTTGCCGATCAAGTTCAGCAATTATTCAATTTCAAATCAGACTGCTCTCCTTCATCTTAGAGGACATGGGAGAAGAGTATGTATTTTCCAGAGTGTCGTAAAGTTTCATATCGCTGTTGTTTGGTGTACTGATGATGCCTTCTTTTAACGAAATTAATGCTAAAGGCGCTACTTCATAACCAACGGTGAAAACTCGTGGTTAAAAGCTCTTGGTAAATGTCTCAACGAATATAAACATCTCGCAACAGGGCTGCCTTGGGATTTTATGGACAACCTTTCTAAATACAACGAATTGGATTCATCAAGTAAATTAAGGATTTTAGTGTTCCTTTGTGATGAGGCTCTTGGAACTGAGTAAGTATTCCTTTCATAAATTTGATTATATCCTAAATTTCAGTGTTATTTATGTATATTTTTCATCAGAGCACTGAGGAAATTTCTTGATGAAGAGAATGCAAAGTTTGTAGAGGCAAGGAAGGAAAAGACTGAACAAATTATTGCTGCTAAAACAAAGGTCTTAGTAAATGGAAATGCAATTTAGATTATCCTTATCATCAGATTTATAGAGTTGCTCCCAGAAAATATACCTTTTCCTTTCAATGTTACAGGAAAAACTTATAAAGCAAACGCTTAAAAATGATCTTGCCAGAGCAATGCTCCCAGCAGAAGAGAATGCTAAACTTTCTATATCCGAGCATGACAAACTAATTTCCAAAATAAGGCATGAAACGGAAAAAGCTCATCAGGAAATGTTGGAGTCGATTGAGCTTTTGTCAAAGAGTATGTTACCTCAAATAGATTATTATTATTATTATTATTATTGTTTGTATACTTTCTTGCTTTCACTGCTATGAAGGTAATGAATTAGTTTGTATTCTTTCTTGCTTTCACTGCTATGAAGGTAATGAATTACTAAGTAAACTGGAAAATTGATGTATGATTAGTATTCATTTCCAAAAATCAGTTAATTTATAGCTTTATCTTTAGACCACTAGACCATGGACTTAGAATAAAATGCAGGTAGGGAGTGGGAGATCAATATCTAGTTTTCTTTTGTTAATGGAAACGCTTGATAATGCAGATGCGTAAAGCATGTAGACTGTGGAAAACTTGATTGTGATCTTAATTTTTCTGCCTAAATGTGCTATTATTAAGTTTTAAGGTGCTTTTCAAATTTCCAAAAAAAAAAAAAAAACAGATTATTTATGTTAATTTTGGTTTTCTTCTAGCAAACACTTAGCTTGGGTTAGCTTGGTGATTTTGATTGGTGAATAAGTACAACTTTGGTGTTTCTATCATCTTAATTCTACAAGAGATTTTGGAGGTGACATTATTTTCGCTGTGATACATCACAATCACTACTAGCATTAGAGCTAATTATGTGATGGAATTGTAAATAAAGAAAGATAAATGCCATTGTGAAGATTATTTATAATACTTCCAACTGTTTCAATCTCTTATATTGATATCATTATTAAAATGCTATTGCAACTTAATTTTTTTGTCTAACTTGTGATTTATTATAAGCTTGATTTACTTTGTCTGATCTAGTAATAGATATCATCTTTTGGTTATTGATGATATTGAAGCAATCTCGAGGAAGATGAAAGTTTCTTGCTGACCTTCGCTATCGGTCATAAAATGCATTAAGGCCCTATATTTTGCAAGACCTTGATTTAAGGTAATGGCGATATGGGATGGAGGTGATTTTAAGAAATTTCTTAGGACTCTGAAACTGAATTAGAATGTGGAACCTGTAACTTTGAAAACCTTTTATTGGTGGATGGCTTTTAATTTTGATTTAAAAAACAGTAAATTTTCATATGTGTTATTTTCATGTTGTTCATGTGCAGGTTGCCCTTTACATCTGATAAAATGAATTATTCAAGATGTGCCAATGTTGATGTTGAGATTGTTAATGTTTGGGAGTTTGTAATGTTTAACCTGTGGAGACACATTGAAGAAAGGAAGTTCAGGTGATGAGAGTGACTAAGATAATGAGTTAGACTTCGTTTAAGAACGATTCCCGTGCTCCATTTAACTTGCACACAAAGCCGCTTGGAGGAAAATGTATGTTTGCCGATCTTCCATTTTCGGCACGTCTTCGAATGCTTGAGCGGACGAATGCGAAAAAAGTTAACATTTTGCACTGGCTTTAAAATTGGAGATGCTCGTCGTTGTTCTGCGACGGAGCTTTTGGACAAAGGGAGCCTTAGAATAAACTTGGGCAGAAGCCTTGGCTTCTTATTCCTCTTATGTTTCACTTAGTAGAATAATATCATTTTGGGATTCTTGCTCACTACCCTATTAATGATAATTATTGCTCTTAGGTGGCCATAAATCCCTATTGTAACATTGCATGTGTTATTTATGAGGGTTTTAGTTTCACTATATAGCAAAGCTCTGTAGTCATGCGAGCTTTGTACCTTTCTTACCTATAATGGTTGTTAAAAGCAGGCTTAGCATAGTTTACCAGAAGGTACCTAAGCTTTGCTGCCTTTCGCAGAGTAATATATTTTCCCCTTCAATAAAGCATGCTAGTTTTAAGGTGAGGAGCTTCGGCTTTACTTCTCACTTTGTTAGGGATAAGAGCTAATATCCATTTTTTTGTCTCAGTTTAAATTACTATCCTATTTGTACTCTCGCAGGGCTGTAGGTAACCTTAATCCCGTACGTAGGGGGAGTGTTTGCAGTCAACTTGGTGTTAGGGAGTATGTTCTTCCTCCTGTACGCCTATAAGTTACGAACGTTGCAAGTTTTAAATTGAAAAGTAAATCTAAAGATATTTCTTTTTTAATTTCTTTGCCTTTTTTTTTTAGTTTTTCAAGAAATGACAAAAGGAAGATTTACATGCATACCACTCAATTCTTATGTTTTTACATATCTAAAACCTAAACTTCAACTTTATCATACATACCACCTTACCTTATGCATGAAAAGATGTATTTCACATTTTAAAAAAAAATTTTATGCGACCACCACCACCCCCCCCACCGGGACCCTTCTTGGGTCTGCTCCTGCCTGCATGGGCTATTGGTAGGTTGTCATTGGTGAAGTTCTTCGGTGTTTCATTTGGTAACATTGTTGAAAGTTGTTTAATGCAATTTTGGTTGTAGTTGAGTTGAGTATATCTCAAGTTATCCTTAGTTTGAGTTTGAATTTGATTAATTACTAATGGTTGAGCTTTAGCTTAATTCTATAAAATATAGACATGCATGATAATAATTTTGATTCAATTATCTATTATAATAAAGTGTAAAAAAGAGAAATTCAATAAAAAATCAGATATAAATTTTGTTTATTTTTAATAATTTGTACTAAAAGTTATAAATAATAATATGATTGAATTGCATTTTATATTAAAATTTTTTAAAAGCATCGACTCACGAGTTAATGAGTCATGTCATATCTCAACTCACAGCTACCAATCCAGCTGAGCCTAACTTGACTCACGAGTTAGTTTGACTCATTTAAACCCTTGAATGCAATTTACTAAATGGTACCAAGCTTTATTGCCTTTCATTTATTGATCAATTGTTCTGTGTCTAGTTCTTGGATCTAATAGTCAGTTGCTAGTTATTATTGCTAGCTCTTTGCAAGAGTTTGTACTTTATTTTTCTTAGGCCCAATTGTTAGGCCTAAGACCACTAGCAATTATTTTGATCAGCTTGCTCCTGTATTCACTCTATAGCTGCTCAAAACCTCAAAGGTCTGAGTGATTTGTTATGATGGCTTGAAGAAGAGTTGCTCGTTACGATTTAACTTGTAATTGCTAATTAGAAGGTTAAAGGCACCATCAGAAATCAGGTTTATAGTGTCTTATGTATTTATATGTGTGTGTGTGTGTCTATATATATATATATATCAATATTTGCATTTACAAAATAGGAAATTTTATTTTGGGGGTGGGTAGTACTACGAAGGACAGTGATATTTTAGGAGGGACAAAAATGATATTTAAGGATGGACAAATGTCCAAATTGTCCTCACATATAAGTGAATGAGATATTGGTAGCCTTTTGTTGTTGATGTTCTTCGATGTTGTAGTTGATACCATTGTTGAAGGTTGTTTGATGCAATTTTTGTTGTAGCTAAGTTGATTATATCTTAAGTTATCCTTAGTTTGAGTTTGAATTTGATTAATTACTGGTGTTTGCATTAGTTTTACAAAATAAAGACATGCATGCGCTAACTCATATTATGGAAAATGAGAATAATTTTGATTCAATTATCTATTGTAATAAAGTGTAAAAAAGAAAAATTAATTTGTACTAAAAGTTAGGACTACGAAGAACAAAGTGATATTTTAGGAGGGGCAAAATTGATATTTCAGGAGGGGCAAAATGTCTAAATTGTCCTCACGTATAAGTTTTGGGGGGGGGCATCCTGGGTCAGCCTCTGTCTGCATGGGATATTGGTAGGCTTTTGTATATTGTGTAGGCTTTTGTTGCTGATGTTCTTCGGTGTTGTTGTTGATAACATTGTTGAAGGTTGTTTGGACATTTGGTGTTAATAATTTGTACTAATAATTTTGTTGCTATGTACTAAAAGTTAGTACTACGAAGGACAATGATAATTTAAGAGCAAAATTGATATTTTCGGAGGGGCAAATGTCCAAATTGTCCTCACATATAAGTGGGGGGTGGGCACCCCCCCTAACCCTTCCTAGGTCCGCCTTTGTCTGCATGGGATATTGGTAGGCTTTTGTTGCAGATGTTCTTCGATGTTGTAGTTGATAACATTGTTAAAGGTTGTTTGATGCAATTTTTGTTGTAACCGAGTTGATTGCATCTCAAGTTATCCTTAGTTTGAGTTTGAATTTGATTAATTAGTAGTGCTTGCACTTTAGCTTAATTCTACAAAATAAAGACATGCATGCACTAACTCATTTATTATGAAAAAATAATAAGTTTGATTCAATTATCTATTGTAATATAGTGTAAACAAGAGAAATTAATAAAATGAAAAAAAAAAAGAGAAATCCATAAAAATATTAGATATAAAAGTTGTTTATTTTTAATAATGTATACTAAAAGTTTTAATATAATTTAAATGCATTTTATGTTAAATTTTTTAAAAGCAACGACTCACAAGTTAACGAGTCACGTCGTATCTCAACTCACAGCTACCAATCCAGCTGAGCGTAACTTGGCTTGCGATTTAGTTTGATTCATTTAGACCCTTGAATGCAATTTAATAAATGGTGCCAAGCTTTTTTGCCTTTCGTTACTCAATCAATTGTTCTGTGTCTTGTTCTCGGATCTAGTAGAGTCCTCAGTTGCTAGTTATTATTGCTAGCTCTTTGGATTTTCTCATGCAAGAGGTTGTGCTTCATGTTTCTTGGACCCAACTATCGGGCCTAAGACCACTAGCAATTATTTTGACCAGCTTGCTTCTGTCTTTTCTCTCTGGCTGCTCAAAACCTCAAAGGTCTGAGTGATCAGTTATGATGGCTTGAAGAAGAGTTGCTTGTTACGATTAACTTGTAATTGCTAATTAGAAGGTTAAAGACACCATCACAAATCAGGTTTATAATGTCTTATATATTTATATGTGTGTGTGTATCTGTCAAGTGTCGCGTACTTCAACCTGTTGGTTGACATCTTTGGTGTAAGACCCCTGAGGTCCGGGGTTTGAATACTCTCTGGCATAGTTGGCCTTAAGAAGGTGGAACTCGAATTGTTAGGCACATTAGGAGTGGCTGGAGGCTCGTTCTTTTTACTATATATATATATATATCTGTTAATATTTGTATTTACAAAATAGGAAATTTTAGGAGCTAGGGAGGGAGGGTTAGCTATATTAATGTCAAGTGAGTCAGCCTAAACTCAAAATCAAATTGAATTGAGATTTTTTTTTTTCAACAGCCTTGCTTTGGCTTAAATCATGGAAACCGTTACCAGAAATACTAATTTAAGGTTATCCACATCAAAGGCTCCCTCAATCATGCATTCATTGGCTGCACACTGCACCCCATTTAACTTGCCAAAATGATCGCAGTTTATTTTTTTTCTCGCATAAATCATTATGCTTCAATGATAAATCATTTGCACAATTTTCATATTATTTTATAGTGCTGTTTGATTTTCTAAGAAACAACAAGGAGCTCATATGCTTTTGCTTTTTGTTTTATTATTTAATATCTCAACAATTATCAAGAGAAACACGCATCAGATGCCATTCGGACTAGTCCTCTTTTTCTAGAAAAGAATGGAACTGTGTACTGGAGATTGAATAGCTATGATGGAAGTTCAAGCATTATTGCCCAAGGTTTAAACTTTCTTACTTACCTACACATTGATGGCTAATTCTGTCGTCCTTGCTATTCTATCTGTTGTTTTCAATTACAGAATTCCTACAATTTTTTCTTTCAGATATTGAGAAATGGAGCGTGTTTCCACCTCAAGAGAATTGGTTCATATTTGATGATGAACAGAAAATGGTGGAGAATTATATTTCCTATTTGAGGTACAGAAAACTTGAGATCTTTGATTTTGTCTTTACAGAAATATATTTCCTCCAGGCACCATCCGCCATTAGCCACTGCTGTCCAGCCGCAACTCTGCTTGCGACTGCCTCCATCACCACATAAATTAATTTAGTTAATATTCAATAAAAATAAAAATGGGCATTTACATATATGCTACACAAATCTTGTATATTTACATATCTAAATATCTACATGCATACCACTGAAATCATTAACATCTTTTTAAGGAAAATACTTTTTTATGGATAGTTTTATGACACCGAGGTGTGATAAATGTAAATATCAAACTTTGGATGTGAATTGTGTGGTATGTATGAAAATTTCCCAAACTAAAATGTAATTTTAAGTGATTCTACCCATAAGCAGAAATAGAACTGTAGGTGGCATAGTAAGAGATTTTATCGACCGCTCTGCTTTGTCTCCTTGATGTCTGCAGATATCCTGCTGTTCTCACCTTCAATAATTGAAGATTAGAAATGGCTCACACCTTCAACATGTTTCATCAATCTATTTTTCTGGCTGATGCAATGAAGTCTAATGAGCTACCTTTCTCTTCTTTTCTTGTTCAGGTTTCACAGAGCAATGGAACAAAAGGAACTGAAGAAAGGATTACAGCGCAGGGTAGGAATAGAAGATGAGCTTTCTGATCACTCAGAACCCCAAAGTTGCCTGCAAAAAGTAATTATTTCTGCTTTCAGTTGGTACTAATAGCTTGGGCTCTGTCTTGGAATTATCATTTTATAATTATTTTTATTTTTTGCATCTTTTTTACAGTAAACCGAGTGATGTTTAGTTGGTGATGGTGGATGTAGAAGAACTGGGAAATGCAGTAAACTCTTGATGGTTGGTCATGGCCTTCTTTTTTTATTTTTTTTGTTGAAATCTAGCTTGGGGTCTTTCTTGGAATTATCAGTTTATAATTTTTTTTGCTTTTGCATCTTTTTTACAGTAAACCCAGTGATGTTTAGTTGGTGATGGCGGATGTAGAAGAACTGGGAAATGCAGTAAACTCTTGATGGTTGGTCATGGCCTTCTTTTTTTTTTTTTTTTTTTTTTGTTGAAATTTTGGTTAAGGCCTTGTGCTTTCAAAATGCGTTTTCCACTTATCTGAATAGTTATTGCTGAATATCGATGCTTTTTTAAGCTCATATTTTTTTGCTACGTTTTTGTTGTGTAAAATGCATTCAATGCTTAAGCTTGAACTAAGAAGATTTGTTAAAAATGAAGACTTGTGAAGCTAATTCATATAGTTAGGATTGGGGTATTGATGATGTTGATATTGATGCATATCTATGCTTTAGAGCTGATAATATTTATTTGTAACTTCAGTTAAATTTTGCCTCAAGTCCTATAAAACAAATGTGGAAAGTTGATAAAAGTCTGACAGTTGATTCAAGTGCAGAAAATAATGTGGTTGAGATAATGTATTTGGTACTGATGTCTACTTAATAATTATGTGTAGAATTGGAAACCAACGAAAGACTAATTTATTTATTGTAATTCAGGAGTGCTAAAATGTGCATTAGGAATGCTGCTGGACAGTGTGCTGAATGCTGCTGTATGCTTGGGCCAGCCAACGATCATTGTAAATATAAGAACCTCTTCATTTGAATTCGTTTCATGCCTGTGTTTTGGTAGACTTTATTTTGACATGCAATGCAATGGGGATTAAAAACATTATTGTGGTTATATTTTGAGTTTGAATGTTGTGTAATAGTTAAAAATGATAGTTTTTTTTTATGTATATTTTTTGCAAGGGGCTTCATTTTCTTATAATATAAAGAAATCCTCCCCTTATAGATGAAAATAATACAAATTTTGAAAGATCCTTTAACAAAATTGAGTTCATTTAATCAGTTATGCTTGGAAAATAAGTTGTCTCTCATTATGTCTTTGCATAAACTATGGATTGAGAAAAATGGCATTTTTAATTAGAAAAAATGTTGCTTTTTAGTACATGATAAAAAAATATAATAATTTGATAGAGCTTTATGTTGATGAAATTTTTTTTTTAATTTTTTTGTTGATCTCACTTTTGGTCACCTTCTTATTCACCTACAAAATCAAAGACAAATTTAAATCAAGATATTCAAAATTGGTATTAAACATTATTAACTCTAATCAAATCTTAAAATTAGACAATAAGTTTAAATTCAAGCTTGAATAAACTCAAATCAATTTTAAACCCAATATCAACAAATTAAGATGAAAATATCAAAATTGACAAATTTGAAGTTTATTAGAGCCGAGCGTCGTCCCAAACCCAACCGAGCCCAAATCCAATCTAGCCCAAGTCCAACCAAACCTGAGTCGAAACCAAGTCTAAACTAACCCAAGTGCAATCCAAGTCTAACTCAGGTCCACCCAGGTCCAACCAAGTCTAACCCAAATCCAACCCATGTCCAACCTAAGTCCAACCCAAGCTAGGTCCAACCCAAGTGCATCTTGAGTCCACAATGAGTCCAGCCCAAGACCAACCTAAGTCCAACCTAAAACCAACCCAAGCCTAATCCAATCCAAACATAACTCTCATGTTAGTCTTATGTTCATGTAAATACTCATGCCAATCATATGTTCATGCAAACACTTATGTTAGTCATATGTTCACTTCCATGTTAGTTTTATATTTTCGTTAACTCTATGTTCATGTAAACTTCCCTTTTCATGTAAAAGTGCATATTACCCTAAATATGTCTGCATCTTCTTATATCTAAGTATGTGAAAATAAATAAATAAATAAAGGAAGAGGAACCTCTAATATGTAGGTTATCCTTGTAAATATTTTAGTAGAATATGTCATTTTCATGCTTATGTAGTTCAAAATCTTTAATAATCTAAATCAATTTAAAAATAACATAAAACAATGTTAAACTAATTAAAATAATTTGAAAATAATAATAACTTAAAACAATCTTACCAATCTTAAACTAATCTAAATAACTAAAATAACTTTTAAAAATTTAAAACTAATTTAAATAATTTAAAAATAACTTAAAACAAATTAAAACTAATTCAAAAATAGTTTAAAGTATAAACATAACTTAAACTTTTTAAAAATAAAATAATTTAAAAAAATTTAAATAGCTTAAAACAAATTAAATAATAATTACAACTAATTAAAAAATAACTTAAAACATTTAAAACCAATTTTAAATTCTTTTAAAGTAATTCAAAACATTTTAAAACCACCTCAAAAATTGATTTAAAACAATTCACACAAAAAATTAAAACCTTAAAAAATAATCTAAAATAATTGACAAAAATTAAAACCTTAAAAAATAATCTAAAATAATTTAAACACTTAAAACTTGTTAAACCAAAACATTTTAATATATAAAAAGAAATGAAATAATTCAGCAATAACACTTAAACTAAGTAATATTTGATAATCTTAACACTCAAATTAAATAACTTAAGATAACATTAGAACTAAGTAACTCAACATGTCACTTCAACACTTAAAGACAAATATTATGTAAAACACTTAAACAAAAAACAACTTAAAAAATTTAAACTTCCAAGATATAACTTTTAAAAGCTCAACCTACAAGCTTTAAACTATTTAAAACATTAAAAGAATTGAATTACATAAGATTGTAAATGTCATATAAGACTACACTGTGAACTAAACTTTAACCTAGAAAAACCAAATGTAAAAAATATCAAACTAAGGAGAATCTTGATTTTCATATCTACTGACAAACTGTGAATCAAAACAAATTACCAATTAAATGACAAATCCTAAACAAAATCTAAAGTTCACCGACTTGAAAAACGAGAACAAAGCTCAAGTAGATCCATCATGAACCTTTGGCTAGTTAACATAAAAACAAAATCAAGGATGACAAACCCTGGATTAGTAAAGTCTAGAAATCAGGACTAGAACCTATAAAAAAACAACCTTGCCCATTGACATTATGTAGATGCCCTAGAATGAAGTAACTGACAAAAGCGTTTCAAAACAGCTTCAACAAATAAATTCTAATGAGGATATTCATAGTGGAATTCAAATTGGATAGTTGAAGTGGAGGAATGCTTTGGGCTGGAGATGACCTACTACACACAGGAGAAGAGGCAAAGATGGAGGTTTAACATGGGAAAGATGGATCCGAGAGGGAGACAAATGTTTGGCACCGTAGAGGGAGGCAAACAAAGGGAGACGGAGACTGACGCAAGGGATGATAAATTATCATGATAAAACCTAAAAGTTCATATCTATGATAAATTAGTAAAAATAATAGGTAAAATGTAGGGTAAAAACATTTGAAATCACGTAAAATTGACTCATGTCAATTCCCACAAACTTACCCCATTACATGCCTTAAAGTAATCTCATAGCTCAGTTAGTGCCCCATAAAAAAATAGGCACTCCTATAGGTTTTTGAACTATTCAGCTTAATTATCAAAGTCAAATAAAAGTATTTAAATGTCATTTCAAAGTCAATTATTTTTAATGACTAATAACACACACACACACACACACATATATATA